GGGGAAGGGGCAGGAGTGGGACCTGGGCAGAAAAGCAGGGCAGAGGTGAGGGCTGGGGAAAGAGGTAGGACAGGGGTGCAGCTTCATGGGGAAGGAGCCGGGAAGGAGAAGCGCCAGCCCTCTGGTTGGAGCGTCCAGTGTTTAAATCAGGGGTGGGGACACTAAGGCCCCAGCTTGCCTGGATCCATCCCCTGAGGCTCAGGGCTCTCCCCCAGGATTGGGGAGCCTGCGGGGCTGGAGCGCACAAAATCTACTAGCATGGGCCCCCCTAGGCTCTGGCGTGAGGGGAATGTGGGGGGGCATCTTTCTCCTTCTCAGTCGGGGGCCATGTCGGTGAGGATTTGGTTTTTTCCCCTGAACTGATTTTTCTGAGGGCCAGCAGCCCCCGACCCAAAAAAGGTTCCCCCCCCTCTGCTCTAAAGCATCAGCCTGGAGCAACACACAGGCCAGGCAAACCTGGGGATATCAGTTAGCCTGCCATGGAGAGAACCACGGAACAAAGAGCTCTGAGAAAAGGAGGCCGGGGCTTCGGACATTGTCACGTACGAAGCTGGAGCGTGTTCAAATTCCTCACACGTCGTTACAACGCCGCCTAAAAAACCCAGCCCGAAATAGCAGTGACCTCAAACGAAGCGAACCACCTTCCAGCAGCCAGCCTGGGCACGGGGCAGGCATTGGGGAAGGGTGAGGGGCGAAACATCAGCATAGCTATTCCCAAGTTGGCAATCCTAGTCATTGTGCTTCTGCGCTTGATACTCTCGGTCCCTTAGACCTGCCACCAGCCACAGCCTTTGTTACCCTGGAGTGCAGGGGTGATGGACAATGCGGTGCAGGGAGCCTGTGCTTTGGCCCGTACAACCCACTGCAGAGGCCCGTGGATCGCTGCTGACGGTGCCAGGGACTGTCCCCCTCTGTTCCTGACTTGCTGAAGTATTGAGAGATGCCCCAGCGGGTATCTCCGGGGAGGCCCCTGCCCCCAAACAAGCCATAGAAACGTTCGCGAGTAAATCGATTCCAGTAGGAGCGAGACTGAGGGGCGGGGGGACTCTGGACACTCCATAATACAAACAAAACGAATGGTGCCTGTGTCCTCGCCGGAGAAGAGAGTATCCCAGCTGGGCCTCCAGGCTGGGCAGGACTGGAGAGTCTCCTGGACGTGGGGCAGGGCGTTTGCTGAGCTGCAAAAAGAGCCTGGTGTCGTTTTCTGTGTGAAGCAGAGGTGCCTGGCCAGCTCCGGAGAGCCCTGGCTACTGGAAGGGGGTTGGAAGTGGAGGCTGGGCTGCATAGCTGAATCTGGCTCCCAATTTCCTGTTTCTGGCTGCTCTTGAGCCTCTGGAATCCACCGAGTGTCTCTGGATCCTGTCAGGGAGGGACCTGGGGTGCCAGTAAGAGGCTGGGTTGCTTAGGCATGTTCTTATACCAAGCTGTGACTAAGGGTATATCTACACTGGCACTGCTGGAGTAGTTTCCAGCTGGGCAGACACAGGAGCTAGCTGGGAACAAGCTGGGGTATAAAAATAGCCAGGTGGCCGCAGTAGCACAGGTGGCAGGAGGGGGCAGCTGCCAAGTACCCACCTGGAGTCCCAGGTGAGAGTATATTCTGGCAGCTTTATAGCCCCAGCTCCCATGTTGATGCACCCATAGGAGCCATATGCTGAGCTCAGCGAGGGCAGGCTGTGAGCCATGGAGGGTCGGCGGAGGCTTGGGCCATGCCTTTGAGTGAGAGCACGGTAGCTTGAGGTGGGTCAGTGGGCAAAGGGAAAGATCGCAGCGCTCCAGGCGTGAGGCTCAGTGTGGCCCTGCGTTTGAGTCATGGCAGCCCGGGGTTCCATCCTTGGTCCAGAGCTGCAGGGGGGAGCCTGCGGCCGCCCCCATCCCATCTTTGGGACGTGCTGTGAGGATGGTGGGGAAGGGGGAGCAGAGAGCAACGCCTGGATCTGGACTCTTGCTTAGTTGGAGGAGGGACGGTTGGTGAAAATCAAAGAGGTGCTGAAGGAGCTGCCATCCCCACACTACAGGTACCTGTGGGAGGAGGGGGGCCATGCTTGCCTGGCCTTTCCTTCCTGCCAGTCGGGTACCTTTCACCGACAGTGATCGGGGCTCCCCTGGCTGGGTGTTAGTCCCAGACCCAGGGTTGGACACCCCTCCTATGGCTCCGGTGGGGGGGCTGGGAATTAACCTGACTCTGGTATCCATCACCACAATCTGCTATGTCAGCACTAGACACCTGAGTCAGCCCCCAGACTCAGCCCCTTGCTCTCTGTCCCTCCCCCTGCCGTGGGCTCTGGTTGAAGCGGGGTGGGGGGAGGGGAGGCCCAGGAACTCAGACTGCTCCTGGGCCTGTTGCCTAGCTGGGATCTCAGGATCTTGGCCTGGCGGCAGGGCCGTGGCAGCAGCATGGGCCTCTCCTGCAGCCTCCATCCTATCAAAGGAGAGCCGCAGCAGTGGAAGGCCTAGCAGCTCTCTGGCCAAGCAGGGAGTGGAGCGGTCGGCTTCTCCCCTCTGTTGCCAGCCCCTGAAGCCTGGCTGCTGATCTGAGGGGGCTGTGGTTTCCCACCCACCCCTGGCTCCACTGCTGTAGCTTTCCTTTGCTCAGCACTGGGCTGTGACGTGGGTCTGGCTGGCTCCATGGTCCGTTTGTGGGTCTGTTCCAGCCTTGAGGTTAGAACAGCCATGGGGCTGTTCTAACTTTTGCCACCAGTGTGTGGTTCCTTAAGAGCCTCTCCACAGTTAGTGCCAGGGAAATTCTCCATCGGCCAGGATCCAGCTGTGGGGTGCAGGTGATAACCAGGGCTGCGTGTGCTGTGGATAAAAGATCCTGCCCATTTAGTGATGTGCAGGCTGGGACTCCCCCACCATAGATGGGACGGCGCAGACCTAGGCAATGGGACGATCCAGGACAGGCAGACGCTCTGCTATGGGAAGCATTGATGAAGTCAAGACAGTTCCCTTAGAGAGGGGACCTGACAAAGAAGGGAGCCTGGGGGGTTCCATTCTTCCTGTCTCATACCATAAGACCAAGGGACAGGGAATGTTACGGGGAAGTGGGAAATCCAAAACTTAACAAAAGGAAATACATTTTTGTGCATCGTGTGATCGGCCTGGGGAACTCACTGCCACAAGATGTCACAAATGCCCAGAACTCAAAAGATTCCCGGAGGGATTGGACAGGATCTAGGTGATAGGACTATTCAGTGTGATCACTGATAGATTGTTAGAGACCAGGGTGGGACAAGGGGGGACAGACTGTCCCACAGCCACTGCTATGGGGTTGTTACCTCTTCCCCTGTTGTGCCTGGTGCTGGCCACTGTCAGAGACAGGACACTGGGCTAGATGGGCCTGGGTCCAGTCCCACCTGGCTTCCCTGTGAAGCACCAGTCTCCAAACCAGAATTTTGAATCCCTCTTTCTGTGCCGTCTTCATGCGAGTGTCGTCTCCTTTTTTCACGGCTGCCGCAGGACCCTGGAGTTTCTGATGAGACATCTGGTTCGCATGGCTTCCTACAGCTCCCAGACCAACATGCACGCCAGGAACCTGGCCATCGTCTGGGCGCCCAACCTGCTCAGGTGAGAGCCAGCTGCATGGAGCCGGGGGGGCAGGGCCGGGGCCAGGCACTCCGGTTGCTTGGTCATGCTGTGCAGACAGAGCCAGAGGCAGGGAGGACTTAGGGCTCCTGGGTGAAGGGGGCGGGGCTCTGTGCTACCTGGAGCCTGTAGCTGGGAGGGTTGGGGATGGAGTGTGAGTCTGACTGAGACTGAGATGGGGGTGGGGCAGGGGCAGGCAGGGAGGCTGGGGAGAGGTGGGGGGGGGGGTCTGGTAGGCGCGGCGG